AGTATTCTTCAAAGCTTTACTAACCAGAGCTTCTTCAAAACAGGTACAAAGTAATCAATGATACATCCTGAAAGTTGTATAAAGCATATGCATAGGTTCTTCTTCTTAAATATATTACTCAATTATGACCAGAGCTGAAATCCAAGCTCTGACTCTCCCATTGCCTACATTAGCCTGCATCCAGACTAAGGCTTTGCAGCTCATGAAGAGGCATCCTTATCACATTCTTCTCTGACTGTGCCTGGGTACAAAAGGCAAAGGCAACTCCATTCAAAATGGCGAATTTGCAATTGAATGCCTTAATCACATGATCTAAGGTTAAACACTCAGTGTGAGGGTCAGCAGAGAACAATAGTTAATTATCAACTCAGCTAGAAGCTTAGAGAGCCCTTTCTAGCCTAGTATACTCCAATGGAATTTTCCAATGCTAAATCCCTAAAAACATACATACAGGTAGAGTGGCTGGGGAAACCCAGCCAGATGGGCGGGGTTATAAATAATAAATTATTATTATTCTCCATTTCAGTGTGCAATTAAACAATTATACTTAACAAGATGGGCTATTAGTCTGATCCAGCAGAGCTCTTCTCATGGAGTGATAATGTAGACAACATTTAAGAAGTCATAGATCAATAGTGGAGCACCAGTTCACATGCAAAAGATCCCAGGTTCAAATCTTTGGTGTTTCTTGTGAAAGGTTCTGAGATAGCAGATGGTGGGAGACTTTGGGGAGCTGCTGGCCCAGCATCAGGCAACTGCAGTTCCTATCTCTAATGCACATCTCATTGAGTGTGTGGAATAAACACACCTGATACACATGGGCTGGAATGTGCTGTCTCAAGTAGGGTCAAGGCTCTCCCACATTGCTTCCCTACTCACCACCTTCTGCCCACCATTTGTGGTCTTAATGGCGATGGCTGTGGCACTCCCGCTTGCTGTTGGCCCTCACTTTGAATTGGCTTCATCCACAACGTGTAGCCAAATCGCATTGGCTGTGTGTTGTCATGAAGCCAAGTCAGAGTGAGCAGAATGGTCTGATGGCTCCTTGCTTGTGAAATGCTCTCCTCAAGGACACATCTTAATCTATGTTTAGGCTCCAGGCAAAAACTTTCCTTTTTCCTGGGGCTTTTGGCCCTTGATTGGAAGGGGTTTGGGGTCTTGAGGGACCTTTTATTGGGGTGGGATCTGCAAGGCCTGTGCAGATGTTTGGGGGCAGTGGTTATTGGTTTGTTTGTTATAATTGGTTTGAGTGCTTGTATTGCTTTTGTAAGGTGCTTTGGGTCCCTTTTGTGATGAAAGCAACATCATGATGATTATTGCAATTATTTGTTGAAGGCAATCAGAGCAAGCAGTACAATAAGTGGGACACTTTGCCCTTTCACAGGGTCCCCCCACCAAAGAAAGAAGCTTAGATGGAACCCAGATTAACTTCCAAATGGCTGTCATGGTAACAGGTGGGGGGTTTTTACAGGGACTTTGTGTATATTGTAAGAATTCCTTAGAAGTGCTTCGGTGGAACTATATAGCTAGACTCAGAGAATCCTAGAGTTAGAAGGGAATCCCAAGGATCCTCTAGTCCAGGCATGGCCAAACTTGGCCCTCCAGCTGTTTTGGGACTACAATTCCCATCATCCCTGACCACTGGTCCTGTTAGCTAGGGGTGATGGGAGTTGTAGTCCCAAAACAGCTGGAGGGTCGAGTTTGGCCATGCCTGCTGTAGTCTAACCCCCTGCAATGCAGGACTCACAGCTAAAGCATCCATGACAGATGGCCATCCAGCCTCTGCTCAAACACCTCCAGTGAAGGACAGTCCACAACCTCCTGAGGGAGACTGTTCCACTGTCAAACAACTCTTACTGTCAGAAAGTTTTTTCTGTATGTTTAGTTGGAATCTACTTGCAACCTGAAGCCTTGATTTGAGCCCTACCCTCAATCTGAGCGGGAGAAAACAATTTTGTTCCCTCTTCCATGTGACAGTGCTTGAGATATTTGAAGATCACTATCATATCTCCTCTCAGTCTCCTCTTTTCCAGGCTAAACATACCCCGCTCCTTCAACCACTCCTCATAAGGCTTGAAATATGGTGGTACCCATTGAATTTAGGCTAAATGTGCTTCCTCTCCCTGTTGACCAACAGCTTCCTTGGACATTGTAAATCAAGGCTGCTTGTATCTGCATATGTCCCATCCTGGCTTCTGATTCTTGGTCCCATTAGGGCTGGGTAGAGAAAACTTCAGGCTTAGGGCCAAATACCAAACTTAGCCCCCATCTAGCAACCCCCCTTCCCAGCCATGCCCCTCATGCTAGGCCACACCCCTTGCCTGCCCTGCTTTGCACTGCCATTGAGTATCTTTGCATGGCTGGAATGAGTCATTGTGCTATGAAAATGCCATTTCCTTGCCTGCATGGCGGACAGAGAGATTTGGGAGTGTGTGTGGAAGCTAGCCTATCGTACAAAAGTATAATTCGTGTTTGTTGCTCTTCCCACTGTTGCCTATGGTCCTGCCACCAATGACACATTGGACTCTGTAAAGTTGCCCAGAAGGGAAACTGACCTGGGGCTGAATAGAATTTCCCCATCCTTTGGACTACGTAACAGAAGGGTTTCCAAAATGCATGCTATGGAAGAAGGAGACAGAGAAAGGTTCTTCTCCCTCTCCCTTAGTGTTAGAACCCAGGGACCTCCCTCCAATGAAGCTGAATGTTGGAAGACTTAGGGTGGACAAAAGAGGGCACACTTCTTCTTGCAGCACCTTGTTAAACTATGGAACTTGCTCCCCAAGGAGGCAGTGATGGCCACCAGCTTGGATGGCTTTAAAAAAGGGATTGGACAAATTCATGGAGCGTAAGTCTATATCAGGGGCTATTAACCCTGATTGGCTAGGCTCTGCCTCCACTGTGGTGGGCAGTATGTTTCTGAATTGGTGGAATCCAGAGGTGAGGAGAATGCTTCTAGTAGGAGCTTCCAGTAGTCATCTTGTTGGCCTCTGTGAGAACAGGATGCTGGACTAGATGGGCCACTGGCCTAATCCTACAGGCGGTTCTTACAGTCTACCTGTTGGGAGATGAGGGAAATGGAAAACAGGGTCGGGGAGAAGAATGGATGGTATGTTTTGGAAGACGGCATGGGTGGGTGACTGGAACCCTGAATAGGATCAGTCTAAAGGTAAAGGTAAAGGGTCCAGTCGTGGCTGACTCTGGGGTTGCGGCGCTCATCTCGCTTTATTGGCCGAGGGAGCTTCCGGGTCATGTGGCCAGCATGACTAAGCCACTTCTGGCGAACCAGAGCAGCGCACGGAAATGCCATTTACCTTCCTGCTGGAGTGGTACCTATTTATCTACTTGCACTTTGATGTGCTTTCGAACTGCTAGGTTGGCAAGAGCAGGGACCGAGCAACAGGAGCTCACCCCGTTGCGGGGATTCAAACTGCTGACCTTCTGATCAGCAAGTCCTAGGCTCTGTGGTTTAACCCACAGCTGCAACAATTTGTTGCAGGTCTCACTTGCTCACTTGTATACATAGATTGCCGAACCCTGAAAAACACAGATTTCTGACAGCCAGAAAGAAAGGGCTTTGTTGGACGACTGCCTCCGTTCCTTCTTCAGCAGCCATTGCCTCAAGGCTTGTAGGATCTGAATTTTTAGCTGTCAAAAGATCCCTTGTGAAGGCTGTCTGCTTAAAGAAATTAAAGAGGAAAAGGTTAAAGTGCCTTAAGATACCAGTCTTTCTACCACATTTAAAAGATTGATGAGTCACTGTGGAAGAAGGTCAGCTCAAGTTGCCTTTCCCTCTTTGCTGGGTAGATCCGTAATGACACTATACCTCATTCCTGTTTCTGCTCATGCTTAGTCCTCCTCGTCCCAAACGTCCACAATGTCTAACACAATTGCTTTGTTACCTAGAGATGTTGCTTTGCCAAGTGTGCCCCTTGCATCTCAGGCTTATGACTGGGAATAAGAAAACCCCACGAGTCATTGATGGAGGGAAATGTTGTTGTTGTTTAGTCGTGTCCGACTCTTCGTGACCCAATGGACCAGAGCACACCAGGCACTCCTGTCTTACACTGCCTCCCGCAGTTTGGTCAAACTCATGCTGGTAGCTTCGAGAACACTGTCCAACCATCTCGTCCTCTGTCGTCCCCTTCTCCTTGTGCCCTCAATCTTTCCCAACATCAGGGTCTTTTCCAGGGAGTCTTCTCTTCTCATGAGGTGGCCAAAGTATTAGAGCCTCAGCTTCACGATCTGTCCTTCCAGTGAGCACTCAGAGCTGATTTCCTTCAGAATTGATAGGTTTGATCTTCTTGCAGTCCATGGGACTCTCAAGAGTCTCCTCCAACACCATAATTCAAAAGCATCAATTCTTCAGCGATCAGCCTTCTTGATGGTCCAGCTCTCGCTTCCATACATCACTACTGGGAAAACCATAGCTTTAACTATACGGACCTTTGTTGGCAAGGTGATGTCTCTGCTTTTGGAGGGAAATACCTCAGGCCTTTTGAGCATGACACTGGGGTTCTCTTTGTTCAAAACGTCTGTCTAACAGTTTTACAGTTTGTGTGTGTGTTCATTCTGAGCATATGCAGTTATTTTTAATTATTTTTTGTACTCTCTCTCCATTTTAGCATGCTCCATGCCAGTGTCATGGCAGTAGCTGTAGTAGAGAACATACCTGTTAACAGCTATGCTCTTTGGCTCCACGTGCTTCCCAGTTGCGATAAATCACATGGAAAAGTAACACACAGCTGCTATTCTTCCCATTGTGTGACAACCCAGCTACAGCCTGCCTTATTTACTTATTACGTTTGTATTCCCCCTGTTGTCCGAGGGTGAAAAATATGGACTCCCTCCATTTGTCCTCACAACAGCCCTGTGAGGTATGTTCATAGGGACAAAAAATAATAATGTTGCCTTATACTGACCATTCATCCATCTAGCACAGTACTGTCTGCACTGACAGCAGCTCCCCAGGATTGCAGACAAGCATCTTTCCCAGACTTACCTGGAGATGCTGGGGACTGAACCTGAGACCTTCTGCATGCAAAGCAGATGCTCTACTGCTGATCTACAGCCCTTGAAAAGATTCAAGCTGAACCTTTTTCAGATGTTCTGCCAATGTGTATGATGGGAACTACGATTCCGTATATTCCCCCCACCCACAAACCCACACAATAATTTGCTCAAAGGTGAAGATGCAGCCAACACACATACAATGGTATGTAGAGTAAGGCTACCAGACGTCCCCGTTTCCCAGGGACAGTCCCCAGATTTGCAAATCAGTCCCCATACAAAATCCATTGAAGTTGAAAAGTGTCCCTGGATTCATTGAAAAAAATCTGGTAACCTTAACATAGAAGGTGGGCCCTCGATGAGAGCAGAAACCATGAAAAATAATTGTCAGTTGCCTTCCAATTATACACTAAGTAATGCAGTTCACTACCACTTAATGCATGGGGACTGGTAGACTGGGGAGTTGGGTCTATGAGCAGCTTTGGCCATGATAACCAAAATAAGTCTCCATGTTCAGAGACAGTGTAGCTTTAAATATCAATGGCTGGAAGGAAGGGACAAAGACTGGAGGAAAAGTTCCATAGATTCTCGGTCCACCAGAGACTGCCTCTGAGAACAGAATTAGGGTAGCTCCTTACTCGCTGCAATGCGTCCTTCAGAAAGGATGTTGGTTTGCATGAAATTGGCATGTGCTAATTTTATACACGGAGATGCAGATTTAGAAACAATGGCTATTATTGAAATAGAAATATGATGCATCTCACTGTGGTGGGAAGATAGTGACCAGGTGGCCTTTCTGCCTGCTCAGCCTTCTATCCTGTGGGCAGGTGACTTTGAGGACCCTGTTGATGTCCCTTCTTGGATTCTATATCTCTTTAAACAAGACATGGACTGGAAAGCTCTCTGTAAAGTGACCACCTGGTACAGGATGCTGAACTCGATGGCATCTTTTTTTGAACCAGCAGGACACTATGTGTTGATATCTGAGATTCAGCTTCAAACACATATATTGTAGCAATTTATCTTTTTAATGCTACTATTAATTTTTCAATGTATGGTGTGTGTGTGTGTTCTGTAATAGCGGCATCCGTACGCTGAAACCCTACACACACTTATTTAGGAGCAGGTCCTCAGTGCTAGACTTACATCTGAGCAGTAGAGATAGATATGGCTGTGGTGATAAGTATGAAATTCATAAGTATACATGAATTCTGTAGACCTGGTTCATCTTGAACAGTCAAATCCCCAAACCAGAGTGCCTTGCTGTGAATGCAGCCCTGTGAAGGAAGTAATGTTTGAGTGGCTGGGACCACACAGCTTCCCAGAAAATATTATTGTACATGGGGGAGTAGAAACTCAGGTCCCTGTGTACAAGCAAATCCCCACTGGGCAGCCATGCAATCTTGCTGTTTTATACATTTCCCATTCCATATGGCTGTAGCCACAATAGCAATCCATGGGGAGACTTCAGCACAAGGGTCACCAACCTGGTGCACCTGGGTGCAGTGGTGCCCATGAGGTTCTCCACTGTTGCCCATGAAGCACCTGAGCCCTTTCCCACATCCTCCATCATCATGAGATGGTCTGAGGGTTGTCACCTTACCTTGTTCTCCCCCTGATCCAGGTTCAATCCCCAGCATATTCAGGTAAGGCTGGGAAAAGACTGCTTTCTGAAATGCTGGAGAGCTGCTGTTAGTGCAGACAACACCAAGCTAGATGTTGTCTTATTCCAAAAGGAATAAGAACATAGGTAGCTTCCTTATACCGGGTCAGACCATATATTCCATGCAGCACATGATCTTTCCCCACTCCTCTGCTTTGGAAATTGTTTTGATGGGTTTAACTTGTTATTGGATGATGTGCAGTTGTATTCCTTCAAAAATTATTAACAGCAATTCATAATAATAATAATAATAATAATAATCATAAATGGACAGATGACAGATGGACAAATGGAATTGCCAGCTTCAAAACCCATTGAAAACATGCCATCAAAGCAGTTCTGCCTATTTTACTTGTGTGGATTTTGTGGTTCGGACCTTTACATTTAAAACTTTGCGGGGTGAATGAATTGCATGGGATGCTGTCATTAAAAAAAGAGAAGCAGCAAAAAATAAAAAAATAAAATAAAGATTGCATTTTTAATCCAAAGGGGACTAGCAAGTTTATTCTTTTTGCATGTGCTTTCCCCTAGACTCTGGCTGCCCTAACAAGAAATTCAATAAATCTGCTTCCAAACCATCTTGCACAAGCTTTGCATGTCCAGTCTGGGCCCGAGGAAATTAACAAGCGAATAGAGCACACCATCGACTTGCGGAGTGGCGATAAATTGCGAAGAGAGCATATCAAGCCTTTCTCCCTGATGTTTAAAGACTCTAGCCTGGAGCATAAGGTAGCTGGGTCTTGATAGATGCTTTTTTCTTTTCGTTTTTTGCCAACTCAAAACTGTCTTGAAATTAGTGAATAAGATGACATTGCTTTGGGTTTTCTTTTCTGATTTTTCTCTCTCCCTGCCCTCTCCCCTAGACTGATCTGAGAGCAATTCAAAAGCACTGCAGTTCTTGTAGTTGCATAAGTGTGATGACTCAGTTTAAGAGCCAGGAAACCCCTTCTGGAAGAAGTGACTAAGCTTTGCAAGACAACCAAAGCACTGTGATATAAAAAAGGGGGGAGGAGGGACAAAGATTGGCTTAAACAAACCAATCAACAAACAAATCTCTGCTTTTCTGCTCTGAAGTCGGGAGACACCTTTATTGTAACAATGTGCTAAGGGGTTTTGTGACAGCTGGCTGCCTAGGAATGTTCACCAACAGTCAATGGGCCATAACCATATATTTACCACAAATGTATGAAACTGTAGTCTGGTGGCCATTTTTTTTTGGATATGAGCATGTCACAATTTTCGCCTGTTTACATGCATTGCAATTTTTAGATTGCAATGCATGTAAACAGGCGAAAATTGTGACAGTATTTTCGAACATTTTTAAAGGGTGGAGAGAGGATTCAGAACCCTCTTTTGGAAGGGGTGAGCAGGAGCATAAAAGCAAATAAGCCACTTGAGAATTATTTCAGATATTAATATTGTGCAGCTTAAAGCAACAGGATGCATAAAAACAGACTCCTTTTGGGAATAAAACATTGTCAAGGTCCATAATTTTGATTAAAGCTTTACTTGCAGAGCTTTCTTCAAAACAGGACGAAGTAAATGGTACATGCAAAATATGCATAAGATCATGTACAAGTCCAGCACAGGCTCAGCTTCTTATAAAATATGAAATACTCCCAGCAGATGTAAAATCAGAGGTCTGTCTCTCCCTACTGCTTGCATTTTGACTGGAGTTGTATTCACTCACTGGGGATGGTCATTTACACATCCTGACTTCCACAGACCCAAGGAACGACGATTCAACCACCACCCTTCCAAGGTCGCAAATTTGCAATTCAATAGCCTCCCATATGATCTGAGGTTAAACACTCACATGTTAGCTAGTAGAAAACAACAACAGTTAATTATCAACCCACCAAGGAGTTCAGAGACCACTTAGTATAATCCAGTGGAGTTTTCCCATGTTAAACATTCAGTAATTCACATTTAGGCATTCCCCATTTCAGCGTCAATTAATCAATTATACTCAACAAGTATATGATTTAAAGCTGGGAAATGACAGGCCCTCCTTACTTGGTGATAATCAGCTCCTGATTTGGGGAAGTGCCCTGATGATTTGGGAAAGGGCTGTGATTTAGTGGTTAGAGCACATGCTTTACGTGCAAAAAAGATCTCTGGCTTCTCTAGATAAGGCCTGAATCCTTGGAGAACCATGTCCAGTCAGTGTGGGCAATACAGAACTAGATGGACCAATAGTATGACTGGGTATAAGGCAGTTCTCTATGTTCTTAATGCCCCCTCTGAGCCATTAGCCCAAAGTCTTTATGTTAGGGTCCTAAGTGCTGAGTAAATCACTACAGTCTGTTAAATACATTTTTCCCCCAGTGGGCGTTCCCAGCTGAGTAAATGAGTCTTTACCACACATGTCCATTTATTAGGGTTTTGGGTAGGGTTTTAATGTTGTTTTAAATGTATCTGTTGGGTTTGTATTTTTAACAATTTGTAATACAGCAGTACCTCGGTTTAAGAACAGCCCTGTTTATGAACTATTTGGTTTACGAACTCCGCAAAACCGGAAGTAGTGTCCCGGTTTGCAAACTTTACCTCGGTCTAAGAATGGAAGCCAAACAGTGGAAGGGCACTGGCGGCGGGAGGCCTCATTAGGGAAAGCACACCTCAGTTTCAGAACGGTTTCAGTTTAAGAACGAACTTCCGGAATGGATTAAGTTCGTAAACCGAGGTACCACTGTACTTGTATGTGCAAATCTCCTTGAGGCGGTGGTTTAGAAGGTGATGAATAAATCAACTGTAATGGTGATAATAATAAAAGGGCAATGCAGATTGAGTGTGACAGCCTATGACACAAATTACAGAATTTTTATTGTTAGATGAAGATTTTGTGGAGTGGTTGTTTTTGCACTGCACCTTTCAGAATTTTGTCTATATGCCAATAAAAGTTTGAGATTGAAATGACAGGCCAGTCTGGGTGGGTCAAAACCCTAGCTCTAGGAATAGGAGGAACTATGTCATCGAGGTCAGGAGAATGAGGGGAAATTGATTTTATCCAAGGAAGTGACTCAATTCCAAGAGCTTAATAAGGAGTCCAAAATTACAGGCAGGCTAGACTTGAGAAAGATATTTGAAACAGGATTATAATATATATATATTTCTCTATTTTATTGTAAACTTCTTCTCATTGATGAATTGTTGTTCCAGTCCTCTGCCTCCCATCACTCCTTCCCATGATTGGTATATAGAACGGTGCCCTTGTGTATGACGTTGGGTCTATTTTGCTGGCAGATTATTAGAATCCCAAGCTAGGAGCAATGGGGATAGGGTGATATCCAACAATGGTCATACGTGGACTCAGGCCTGTTTATTTCAGTGGGTAGGGCTTAGTTTGAATGTGGTGCTTCCGTGACTGTGTGCTGAGCCTAGGAGTTTGCTTTTTAGTAGCAGAACTGGATGAAGCTCACAATCCTTTCACACCAGAGCATCTTTCTCCAGGCCTTGCTCCAAACATGAATGCCTCCTAGCATGAGAAGCAACACACCTTTAATTTAGGGCTTGTGAGACTGATGTAGGCAGACTCATAGAGTTGCATCTCCCCCATCGCTTGTTCAAGCATCTTCCAGCTGAACACAGCTCCCCTTGGCTTCGGTGGGGGTTTCCAAGACGCGTTCCTTGTCGGAAGGCGTCTCACTCTCCACGGTTGGAAGTGCCCCCTGCCCACTTAATCCCATTATTTTCCGAAATACTGGAAACAAGCTGAATAGGGAAAGCAACCTTGAAGAAAATCAAATAACAGCGCTTTCTTTTCTTCTTCTTTTCGGGAAACGGATAATAACCGCAGACCTGCAAACATGTCAGCTCATCTAATTTCTCCGCTTCCTTGTATGACTGCAATTCAATTTGCAATGGCCAGATCATAATGATGAGACTTTTTTCTTTTCTTTTTTAAGAAGAAGGACAAACCGTAAATAGCAATTGAAAGCTTAGCTGGGTTAAATGTCTATAATAGAAGAGCTTTCTTGGGAGCCAAGTTATTTTGGCATCAGTCCAGTACTTGCCCATCAGAAAAGACAAGGCTTCAAACCACTTAATGCTGAACCACGTTGTAAACTGGCTGCATTAAGCTTTCATTGCCTGACAATGCTATTTTTTTCCTGGGGGTGGGGAGTGCCTGTCCAAAGTCACCAGCTTTCCCCCTTTAGCTTCTGTATCTAAACAGGAGCCTGCTGGCGCATAAAAATGCAGTTTTCTCTGGCACACCATATGTTTAAAGCACGTCCAATGCACATGACTTTTCCCCCAAAGAAACCTGGGAACTGTAGTTTATTAAGGAAGCTGGGAATTGAACCCCCATAAGGAAGAAAACTGCAGTTCCCAGGATTCTTCAAGGCAGGGGAAAGTCATGTTTTTTATATGTGCACTGGATGTGCTTTAAATATAGGATTAGGATCTGTCCAAAGAGCTAAATGGTGGGGGAAGCATCTCCTAGTCAATTTATATGCACCACAGCCAGGAAAAAAATGTTGCCCTAGCTCTGGGGGTGGGGATATTGTGTCCTTCTAGAGCAGCCTTTATCAACCTGTGGGTCCCCAGATGTTGTTGAACTACAACTCCCATCACCCCTAGCTAGCAAGGCCAGAGCTCAGGGATGATGGGAGTTGTAGTCCAACAACATCTGGGGACCCACAGGTTGAGAACCGCTGCTCTAGAGGTTGTTGGACAACAGTTCCCATGATTCCTGGTTATTCACCCTAGCCTGCACAACCATTGTTCAGAGAGGATGGGAGCTGGCTTCTCCCTTCACTCTCAGACTAGGTAAAGGTAAACGTAAAGGGACCCCTGACCATTAGGTCCAGTCGTGGCCGACTCTGGGGTTGCAGTGCTCATCTCGCTTTATTGGACGAGGGAGCCGGCATACAGCTTCCGAGTCATGTGGTCAGCATGACTAAGCCGCTTCTGGCGAACCAGAGCAGTGCACAGAAACGCCATTTACCTTCCCGCTGGAGCAGTACCTATTTATCTACTTGCACTTTGACGTGCTTTTGAACTGCTAGGTTGGCAGGAGCAGTGACTGAGCAACGAGAGCTCACCCCATTGTGGGGATTAGAACCGCCAACCTTCTGATCAGCAAGCCCTAGGCTCTGTGGTTTACAGTGTATTACAGTGCAGCAAAACAATTGCTATTAAAATTATGTCTGGCCCTCCAAAGGTCAACATAAAGTTTCCACTCAGCCATAAGATTAGATTTCTGTCTGATCTTATGGCTGTCCCTTCATGTACTGGCTCTAGTTAGTTGGCTGAACTTTACTATTTGACAGACTTCTCATTTCCTTACACCTTGGGATCCTAGAGATTTACCCGTTCCAGCATAGCAGCTGCCAATAAAACAGAGGTCATCATTCAGTGTGTTTGGGGTATGTTAACACGATTAATTTCCCAACAGCGATGGGTTTTTGCTGTTGTTTTGTTGTTGTCCTAATAATCATTCATAAACAACCATCTTCTGAATATTTATAGATTCTATATCTATTGTCTTTATATACTACCTTCCTGTGAAGGTACCCAAGGCAGTTTGCAATTTAAACACTGCGTAGGATTATGATGTGCCAGAGATTTTATTGTAGAATTATGAATGATGTACAGATAGTAGGTGCAGATATCACCCATCCATCTCTCAGAACATTTAGAGTGTTGCGTCGGGTACCCACGTATCCTACTGGGAACAATTGTTTCTCGAAAGCATCCTCTATTTGAAGGTCCATAACTATTTTATAGATCAAGAACACAAAGCGGGAGAGTTGCCCATCAATAGCATGTGGAAGATGGAGTGAATAGAGACACTCATCACTTGGGTGTAGCCTTCCCCACTTGGTGAATGGGTTGTATCCATCGCTAGCAAGGATTTCTGCTTGCCCAACAGAATTCTCACCCTCTCCTCACCCCACCCCTAAATCTGTTTTGGGGGTTCCCCCAGCCCTCCAGAGCAGATTGGGGGAAGGAACAGAGTGCAGAAGAGGAGGGGAAATCCCATTGCACTGATGGGGAGTGCAAGTTGGATACCACTCATTGTACTTCTATTTAACTTATGCTAATTATTTCAAAATGTTATGCAAATCTGCCGCCTCCTTTGTACCCTTTTTTGATGTTGATGAAAGTGGTGTATCACAACTGTAGGGTCATCTGGTGCAACTTATTGCCAGTAGGTTTAGGACAGATGAAAAGAAGCATTGCACATAACACATGTTTAATGTGTTGAATTCATTGCCACAAGGCATGGAAATTACCAGTAGTTGAGATGCCTTGGGCAGGAGGAGGACCTTTGGACAGGTTCATGATGGTTTGGTCACCACGATAGTTAGACAAAAGCTTCACATTCATAAGTGGCATCATACTGAAAGCCAGTTGACAAGCGCAAGAGGTATTTAGAAGCATAGAAAGGTCAAACCATTGGTCCATGTAGCTTAGTGTTGCCTACCGCACTGACTAGCAGTGGCTCTCCAGGGTTTTAGACTGCAGATATTCCTAGCCCAACCTGGATATGCCAGGAATGGAACCTGCAGAGCTTCTGCATGCAAAGCCAATGTTTTACCACTGAGCTAACAATCCTTCTTCTGTTCATGCCCTGACTTGAGATTTAATGACAGTTCTGTTCTGGTTTTGAAGGGTGTTTCTGATATGGATCCGTGTTTTCCATCTTTTCCATGTTTTCTAGATATTGTATATCACCTAGATAGTTTTTATAAGTAAATAATTCAACAGTGAGTTGAATCCAGAGTAATCTAGGTCCCCTAGAAATCAATGTAAAGAAGCTGGTCTCAAGTCATGCATTATTTGTACCTATAGCCCTATAAACACAATCATTTAGAGGGATTATATTGAGGTGCAAGGAAGGGAGAGTGTACATGAATGTGCGCATTCTGACCCCTCATCCCCACACCCTCTGTATACTCAAAAGTACTGCAGGGTAAGATTCTGCACTTGTGGAGGCTCCTAGATGTTTTGGAACCTCTGTAGACCATCCCTGATGAACACAGAGAAGGTGGCAGGGATGAGGGGTGGAGATACCACGATTTAACTTGCACAGATGAGCGTCTGAAGAGGATTCATATCTGGATCCAAACCAATGTTGGAAACAGAAATTTTAACATAGGTGTACTCCAGTCCAATCCAGTAGGACCAGAACCTGTCCAAGCCTCAGCCCTGAGGCTGAGGAGCAAATAACACACCTAGTACACAACACCAACCCAACTGTTCCTGCTTCCAGGCCTGGTCTGTCTTTCTGAAAAGGCCTTAGAGTTCTACATCCTTACCTCCCCCATGGCCCAAGTTTGAGAGGTGGGTGGAGCTGTCCACCTGTCAGTCGCTGGATATCACAATGACATCAAGTGACCCACTTTCGTCCGTGCACATGATCAGTTGATCTTTGGGTCTCGCAAAGTGTCGAAGATGCAAGCCCCGGCAATCAACTGATCATAGAATGGTCGAGTTGGAAGTGACCACGAGAGTCATCTCGTTTGACTCCCTGCAATGCAGGAATCTCAGCTAAGCCAACCATGACAGATGGCCATCCAACCTCTGCTTCAAAACCTCCAAGGAAGGAGAGTCCACAACCTCCCGAGGTGGTCAGGGCTTGCATAGTTCCACCTGTGGCACTTTGTCACAGCTATCAGCTGTTTGTCAACCCCCTTTGGCCTCAGGTGTGGGGTAGGTGGGTCTCTCTCAACCCAAACAGCCTGGTAGGATGCCTGGCAGGCCTAATTCAGCTCACGGCTGAATAGTTAAAAAACTATTTTTCCAAGACTGGGTCCAGCTGGGATAGTGTGACCCAACATGAAATGTAAGTTATAGAAGTCCAGAGCAGAGGACTTCCAGATCAGTCGCAGCTGCCGTCAGGTCGTGAGCTGGCCTAGTGTTCAAGTCAGGCAGCTCGATCATAGAAAAGAGTACCAGTACTGGATTTATGTATAAGCTAAACAAGCTATATCTTAGGTCCCCACTCTCCTGGGGGCCCCCACAAAATTTAAAGGAAAAAACCTGGATGTACATTTCCAAAATATAAGATAAAAAGCAAATAAAATAAAACCTACATACAGCAACAGTGTTTTGTGTTGTACATACAGCAACAGTGTTTTGTGTTGTGTAGGCTCCTATGATGTAAGTAATGGGCCACACCTGCTAGCCTGCTCCCTAAAATATCACTGGTTTGCTCATTTTTATATATAGGGTGCCTACATTCTGTATGTGCAAATGGCTTCAGATATCTATTAAGTCCATAAATTACCATATGGTATATATTCAACACACAAAAAACAGCGACGATTTGTTGTTGACAAAGGACAGCTGGACATATAAAGGGCCCCATTACCTTCAGTAGCTTAGGGCCTCATCAAACCTAAATCCAGACCTGATAAGCCCCCTTTACCTGTTGGAGTGAATCACCTCTAGCGCTCTAGCACTACCTATCTTCCAAAAGAACAGGTCAAACACATGCTTTACATGCAGAAGGTTCAATCCTGAGCTCCCTGGATTCCAGTGAGTGGTGGCTGCATCATGTAAGCTCAAACACATACACCCCTCTGCTCTCTAGATATCTCACCAAATGGATTCCTTCCTTGCTGCTCATTTTGCGTTCAATCCATCAATCCCAACCTTTTGGCTGCAGCATCTTCCTCTGGCTTAAGTGGCAGAAGTTGCCTTTTCAAAAAACATCTTTAATGTGACTCATTATACGAAAAGAAAAAAGCAGGCGAGGAAAAGTTCGTTGCAAGATGGAGCGGTCGGCTTTTGCTTCCCTGGTGAGGGTGATTTACAATCTCCCCCACTGCATATTTCTTCTGAGGGGATTTTTCTATATATATAAAACTCTTATTTTTTAAAAAATCTCACCCTAGGAAGCTAATTAATTTACCGGATCGCCTTGCTAATTTCCCAGAAGCCTCGCAAAGCTGTCTTGCTCTCTTCACAGAGCTGTCAAAGCAGACTAAAGTTATTTCTTTCCCCTCTGTGTTCCCTTTTCTATTTCAGTATTCCCAAATGAGGGACGAAGTGTTCAAGTCGAACTTGGTGTGTGCGTTCATGGTCCTCGTCTTTATCACGGCGATCCAAAGCTTGCTTCCTTCTTCGAGGTAAAGGCATTCTCTTGAATGGTATTGCAGGCAGCCGTCTGAATAGTTTCAGGCCTCATATGCACAGTACATTTGAAGGAGTATAATTCCATTTTAAACAGTCATGGCTTCCCCAAAGCATCCTGGGAAATGTAATTTGTTAAGGGTGCTGGGAGTTGTTAGGAGATTCCCATCCTTCCATTCACAAAGCTACAAATGGGATCATCTTAATCTTAACCTGGTCCCCCTCCCCACCCTGGTGTGGGTGGAGCTATCACGCTTACGCCGGCGTGGCACCGCAATCACCCAGGGCTATTGCCCAATCATTTTGAAGGGTGATTGTGGGGGAAAGTATAAAAACGGCAGCGCAACATGTGCCAATCACCTGCTTCGCGCTGCTGAACACCCGCCCACCCTCCCTTTAATTTAAGTGTCCTTTGGCCTTGCTTTGGACTTCGGTTGGTTGCCCGTCTTGAGTCGGGGACCGGGTAGGAATTTTTTCCATTTGGCAAATTGGCACAGGCCACTTGGTTTTTGCCTACCTCTTCGCAATCGTCACAACTTTGTAAGGTTTGGCGGTTAGGCATTGGCTTATGGAGAATGGGGGAACGGAGGTCGACCATCGCCTGCCCCTCCAGTTTAAAGGGTATTCCATTACCCCACATTTTGTTACAAAATCCCCAGAGTAGCTGGGGAGGCCCGGCCAGATGGGCGGGGTATAAGTAATAAATTATCATTATTATTATTATTATTATTATTATTATTCCCTGCCCTCCACCGGCCAGAACCGGGCTCAGGATGGCTAAAATCAATTAAAATTACAATTAAACATAATGTGGGTGGGAAACAAACAAACAAACAAAACCAGTTTATTAAAATACGGGTTAAAATACATTTTAAAATGCAGCCTCATTTTAATAGTAGCCCATAAATCAAAACCATAAGGGGAGGGGAAACATAAGGGTCAGACTGAGTCCAAACCAAAGGCCAGGCGGAACAGCTCTGTCTTGCAGGCACTGCGGAAAGATATCAAATCCCGCACCAATTGAGAACCACTATTCTAAACCAGTTCCTCCAAATACCAGTTGCTGGAAATCAGAGGTGGCCAGAGTACAGTTATGCTCGTGTCCAGCTTCCAGGTTTCCCCAGTCATCTGGTTGGCCTCTGTGAGGATACTGGGCCAGATGGGTCATTGGCCTGATCCAGCAAACTCTCCTTAAATTCTTATTCCCGCCAAGCTATTTTCCTCTGCCCTCCACCCTCTTCCCTATCCCTCTTCCAACTTTTGCCTCACGTGCTCCCTTGAACTCCCTGCTCCCACATATCCCAAAATTGTGTCCTCCAAGCACTCTTCTTCTCCTTCTCAACATCTTTATGTGCCCCCTCACCCAGCTTGTCCGGAGTTTTGGGTTGGGCTGCCATCAGTATGCCGATGACACCCAACACTATCTGTTGATGGATGGCCATCCTGACTCAGCCCCAGACACACTGATCAGGTGTTTGGAAGCTGTGGCTGGATGGTAACGTGGGAGCCGGTTGAAGTTAAATCCTTCGAAGACAGAGGTCCTTTGGCTGGGTCGAGACGATGTGGGATTGGGGGGGGGGGCAACTCAAATCTCTTGCGGGGGTGCAATTAGTGCCAGCACCGTCCGTTAAGAGTTTGGGTGTGATCTTTGACACCTCCCTTTCCATGGAGGGGCAGATTGCAGCTATAACAAAGGCAGCATTTTTTCATCTCCACCAAGCTAAGCAGTTGGCTCCTTATCTCTCTCGCCCTGACCTGTGATCCATGTGACGGTCACCTCCAGACTGGATTATTGTAACTCACTCTACGTGGGGCTGCCCTTGAGACTGACCCAGAAACTCCAGCGGATGCAGAATGCCACGGCGAGACTCCTTACGGGGTCCTCACCGTGGGATCACATTCACCCAGTGCTATACCAGCTGCACTGGCTCCCAGTGGAGTACAGGATCAGGTTTAAGGTGCTGGTTTTAATCTTTAAAGCCCTATACGGCCTAGGACCCTCGTACCTACGGGACCGACTCTCCTGGTATGTCCCACGGAGGTCCTTACGGTCTTCAAACAAAAACATCTTGGAGGTCCTGGGCCACAGGGAGGTTAGGCTGGCCTCGACCAGAGCCAGGGCTTTTTCGGCCGTGGCCCCGATCTGGTGGAACACTCTGTCACAAGAGACTAGGGCCCTGCGGGACTTGTCATCTTTCCACAGGGCCTGCAAGACAGAGCTGTTCCACCAGGCCTTTGGCCAAGGCACAGTCTGACCCCCTCCTTTGGTAATCCTCACAGAACTCTAGCCCAATGGTTGCCATGAATTTGATTTTGAATTGATTTTAAAATGAATTGATTTTAGAACGTTGTGTTACTTTTATTGTTGTTAGCCGCTCTGAGCCCGGCTTTGGCTGGGGAGGGTGGGATATAAATAAAAAAAAATTATTATTTTATTATTCCTCTTTCAAGACATGGATTCTCACGATATCCTCTTT